GCAGTGCTGCCAAGTACGAAAACGAGCTCCTGGGCGCGCTCTCAGAAAAAATGCGAGAGTTTCATATCTAGTTATCCATGATATTTAGTTCACAACTAAGTCGAAACTATCCTAATACCATGTTCTGACCGACAACCAAAATACTTTAAAAACGTGTTTTGGGATTGTGGGCTGAAGGCTGTTCACACCGGCTGTTAATGTTTTCGTTGACATTTCTTACATCCTCTGATTACAGTTTTGCTACATAAAAACAAAACCAAAATGCTTTTCCCTAATTTTCTTTTCATTAGCAACCTCTTACTTTCATTCTTATTAACCGACTTCCAAAAAAGGAGGAGGTTATCAGTTCGTTGAAATTTTTTTTTTTTTTTTTTTTATGTATGTTACCGCATAACTTTGCACCACGTCAACCGATTTCAATAATTTGCAACGGAAAGGTAGTGTTTCAGAGATGGTCCCATACTAATTTGGTTTAGATCCGATCAATGGATCATGAAATATATAGATATATATATATTTTTTTTAAGTCGGTTTTTTTTTGCTAAAAATTACTTGTTTTATTTACTTTTGCGAAATGGCGTATTAAAGATGATAAAATATGACTTCCACTTCGATAAATAATCGAAAAAAAACTAGTGAAGACACCGATTGGAATGAGTGGAACGTGAGTTTTCAAGTAGTTTTCAGCGAAAACCGGTTTTTGTTTGACATATTTTACATGGACGAAAACACAAGTTTTAAGTCGAAAACCAGTTTTAGCCACGAAAACATGTTTTCGATGTCGGTCAGAACATGGTATAACACTGGGGATTATAAGACATTTGAGCTCATATGCATTTAATAAAAGTTAGCGAGCACTGTTTCAATAACGTATGTATGTATGTACAGCGTTTGTTTATAAACAAATATTGCTAACATATTTACATATGCAGTGTAGTATGCATCATACATATGTGTTCTCCCTTTAAGCTGTAGAGCAATCTACGCTCGCGGTGGCCGCTTTGATGCTATATGTATAAAGGTCTGATTATGCATACATCGCATAACTTCGCACAACCATTTGTAGCAGTGCAATAGAAATGTAACTTAAGAAAATGTGAAACAAAATCTAAACTCAACAGATCGCTAAGTTCTTAAAAGTTGTGGTAATTTCTGTGTGATGGAATACATACAAAATACATGCAAAGTACATACGAAATTACCGTTTGAAATTTATGCGAAGTTGTGCGAAGTTTTGTGAAGTATGCATAATTAGACCATAAGTAGTACTCGTAATTTGAACTTCTCCATTTATGTATGTATATGGCGGCGAATGAGAATACATGCACGCATGAGTATGACAGCCCTCGGCTTTTGAATAGCAAATCTCGATCTAAGCTGTTCAATTCATAGAGGAAGGTGTTTTTCTTTTTTAGTGCTAGTTGGCACACCGACAACTTTGCAATTTCGCGTGTTCGGCGAGAGATTTTCCGGGTTTTGGTTTCTGTACTTAACTGGGCTCCTTCGACTCCAACCCGGTTGCTAAACAACGATGTTGAATATCTTCCAGTGTTATTTTATTCGTTTTATTTGCTTCTGCTGCTGGTATTTATTTGCTTTAATTTGCTGGAGGTGTTTGAATGAGTTCAGCAAAATCAACGTCAACCTAAACAAGATGTAAAAATTTCCAAAAACCAAGAAAAAAAAACAGTCAAAATGCAGAAAACTGGACTCAACAAAAGCTTAATCGATTACATACCTACATATTAAAAAAAAACATACTACATATATGTATGTATATAAAGAATAAATATACCTACTTCGGTAAATACACAGAAAAAGTAAAAGTGTGACTGACATTCGCGTGCAAATACTCTTTGGTGGACTTCTATACATTCATAATTATATTAACGGTTTGTGAAGTATGCACACTTTTTATAAATTATTTGTCATTTGACATTCGTGACATCATCATTTCCTTGGCAATCCCAGCCCGGTGGCGAGTGCGTCGCGTCGGCTAGAACATCTCACCGCACAAAATTGCATGCGCATTGCGCAATCAAATAAAATCACTTCATAAATACGCATATTACATACCTACAAATACTAATCCAGAAATGTACATTTGTAAACGTACGTATGTACATACATTAGCGTGGGCCGAAAATCCGCTTTTTTAGAATTTTGATTGGTAATAGCAAAAATATGGTTCATTATGCTCTAAAAAATATCTGTGTGAANCGAAAATCCGCTTTTTTAGAATTTTGATTGGTAATAGCAAAAATATGGTTCATTATGCTCTAAAAAATATCTGTGTGAAATGTGAAAGTTTTTGCTCAATATCTTCGGCTCGCCCAAGTCCATCAAAGTTTAAGTACTAAAAAAAAATTTTCTTAGCTAACTTCGATTCTCTACAGAAAAGGTCAATACACCTAATTATGTAGGACTAACACTTTAGAAGATTATTGCAATTTTAGTAAAAAAATGTATTACTCAATTTATTTATTTATTTTTGTTTTTTGGCCATATTGAACTTTGATGGACTTGGGCGAGTCTATTGACCAAAAATTGTCATTTCACACAGATTGTTTTTAGAGCATAGTGATATTTTTGCTATTACCAATCAAAATTGTAAAAAAGCGGATTTTCGGCCCACGCTAATGTACATATGAACATCTATTGCATACATACTTACACACAAGCCAGTGATGGAAAACTACGAGCATTTGTGATTGCCTTTTCACAGTTTTTATACCACTCGGCAATTAAGGCGCAATCGATAGATTTTAGAACCATTTAATGCAACCGACACTTCTCGTATCCGGCAAATGCAATACTACGTATACATATATATAAGCAAATATCACGAGTTGTTTTTTTTTTTAGTGTCACTCCCTTCTCTCGGCAGGAAAAAAACGCTGAAGCATTCTTACATTTATTTCAATCAATTAAGTTCCAGAAACAAGTATAACAAAAAATAAATCAAGTATTTGAGCAATTTTAGACGAAAAAGTCATTTGATTTTGACATTGCTCTCATAAGAAACAGGCTATAATGTCAAATTGAAATGAATTGTTAACCCATTTGAAATTTTTTTTTTTTTCAAATTTCAATTTGTTTAAAAAAATTTACACAAAAATTTTTCAAGCAACAAATTTTCTTAATGCAAAATTGAAATGAATTGTTAACCCATTTGAAATTTTTTTTTTGTTCAAATTTCAATTTGTTTAAAAAAAATTTACACAAAAATTTTTCAAGCAACAAATTTTCTTAATGCAGCATGCAGAATATATGTCGCATCTATTTTCTTATTTTTTGAAATTTTACTTTTTTTAATTTAAATAATTTTAGATACTTTAAATTGTTACAATTAAACGGTGCAAATGTTCTTCTTGCCAAAACGACGAATCGAGTGTAATAAAACTTGTGTGTCACCAAATTAAAAAAAAAATACCTTGATTAAAAGATGACTATGATTTGAGAAACTAAAATTCCACTTTTACAATTTTTATTGACAGAATCGAACTTCATTCTTAAATTGTTGGATACTTAAAGAAAGTACATAATATATACTACGTGCATAAAGAATACCGTGTAAAAATCGCCCACGTCAATATTTAATTACATACTTTTAAATAACGATGACTTTTAAGTTAAGGCACGCGAGTAAACGTGTTAGAAGACTGAGTGTGGTGCTACGAGGCACTATGGGGATATGCACAAGAGTGGTTATTTTTACGTTTAAGTATATCTTTTTTAAATTTTCATTTAAATACAATCCAGAGATGGAATCTTGTTCTTTTAAGACAATGCATCTTCAAGATAGGCGAAACACTATTTTCGAGCAAAAACACATTTTTGTCGAAAAATGTAACAACTCATGAGATTTGCTCATATACATACATAAAGTTTTTTGTTGGTTGTCCCGATAGCTTACTCAATACTGATAATAAATTGTAGAAAATTATTTTTTGCTGTGTACTGCGCAGAAATTTTCCAATTCCATCACTGATGCACAAATGTATGTATAAGAAAGTTTATACATACATATATACCGAAAAGAAACTGCACAAATTGTTTAGATTGTAACGTAGCGAATTTTATTATCTTTATATCGAACTTTTTTTGGTTTTTAAGAAAAAAATATTTTAATACATTTTCAACAAAAATTTGCAACAAAACGTTATTCTCAAATTTTGCCGAATTTTTCGTTTTATTCCCTTCATTAAATTACGCGCACACACATTCAAGTAATCATTCTGCTTGCTTTGGGCCAGTTAGTTTTAAAAATCTGCGACGTTTCTACCAACTCTGCCATCCTTCTTTAGGTTCAGTTTGACAATTGCCCAATATCTCTCCATTGGTCTGAGTTCTGGAGCATTTCGTGGGTTCCCCTCTTTTGCTACATAATTGACCCTGTTATTTTTAATAAGGTTAAAGTGGAATTGGCGTAATGCGATATAGCCATATCGGGCTAAAATATTGCAGAGACGGTGTGCTTTTTATAACATGGTAAAAGGCGGCGATTAAGGCACTATTCAGACCACATGAACATATAGCCTGCCAAATTAGGATCTTCTCACCAAATTTTTCCACTTCAAACCATGCCACTCACTGCTGAACTGTACAACCCCTCCGTTTTGTGTAAAACTGTTTACCTGGGAACGTTCTTGAGGCCACTTTGACGTAAGTTTCATCGTCTATCGCAATGCCCTCAATGGAGTCAAGCGCCTACAAGTGCATTTTCTTTTCGGTACAGTCCTCACTTATAAGTATACATATGTATGTATGCACATAGTTATAGGTATTTTCACATTAGCATTATCAGCGTAACATTTGTACTACATACAACATACCTGTGATGGTTTTGCTAAAACATATTATTATTGTTGGGGATAGAGTACTGCGACCTTAAGATCTATTGTACGTTAAAACATAAGTTAATTTCGAATTACTTAACTAGTAAATAAATTTATGTCAGCTAATATATAAATTACGTTATACATCTTTCACGATTTTAGCGATCCTGATAGCAATATTTTCGAGGGGCCTTCAGTTTCTGGCATAACATCAGCCGCATGCGCCCTCGGTACTGTGGGTGCCGAGAAATGTGCTACGGCAACAGCTACGCCTACAATATCTATCTCATTAGCCGAAGAAGATGGCAAAAACACTGATGCCAACTCCCTCAACGTGGCAGCCACATCCAGCAATTCTTCCCCGGCACCAAGCACAGACTCCACAACGCCTCTAGTATCGACGCCAAATAGTCCAGATACAGGTGCCACATCTAAAATAATTATTGCAACGACTACAAAAACGGCGGATAGTATGCACACCAGCGACATTAGTATGCCAATCAAAACCACATTAACAACTGTGACCACAACAACAACGGCGGAAATTATGGATGTAAGTACTGAGGATTTTAGTGTGAGTTTTTTAAATTATCTATCGATTGCTGAGTGGAAGACCGCCCTAACTCGGCAGCCAGTTCGTAAACGCCCTATCTCAAAAAATCGTTTCAAGAACGCCCTATTTCAGAATTTTATTTGAAAAACATCCTATCTCAGAATTCGGTTCAAAAACGCCCCATCTCAGAATTCGGTTCAAAAACGCCCTATCCCACTTCAAAATGTATTGAAAATGTACTGATATATGGCGTTTTTGAATCGGCAGCTGAGATAGGGCGTTTCATATTCCCTTTAGGCCCACGATCCAGAAAATAAAGGTCGCGCCATTCGCGGACCGCTAACCCTCTCTTCGTCGATGTGACAGCATCTACCCAATCGCTGACGTCATAAAATACTTTTGTTTGCATTCACACTGATGCTTTTCGCACCAAATTTAGTGGGTATTCAAAACGCGAAAATTTTTGAGTTTGGTGCTTGGTGCGTTTTTTGGTGCTTTTGTTTAAAGTTTGAAGCAGAGACCGGCTTTGAGTACTAATAAAATTAGTGTACTTATTCATTATCCATAACAATTAGTGCAAATGAGTACTTACACTAATTCAACAAATGACTAAGAGTAATTTCCACCAAAACAAGAACACACTCAAAGTATATACTAACTCTTATTTGTGGCGGCAATTTTTGTCTCTATCGAGTGTAGTCTACCCAGCTGGATTTTACTCATTTCGTCGAGTGAGAGGCTGGAAATAAAACTTTGAATGAGTTTAATATTATTTGTGTTCTGCTTTGTGCTACATCAGTGTTGGCATTTTTGGTACAATTTTACTTTTTTGATACAATTTCGTTTACTACGCAGTACTTTTTAGTACAATTTTGTGATGAATACTATAAATATATACGTAGCTCTGAAAATTCACTGCGGGATTTTTTTTTTTATCTTTTTGTCTTCGCCTTCTCGTTTTTGCCTTTGTAAGTTTTGAAAAAGGTTTTGAAATAGCCATTATAACATAGCAAAAGGTGTGCTATCAACCTCACATTCCTAGGCAAGTTTTGAAAGAATATTTTCGATACTAAATCTTATTAAGTATAGATATAGTTAGAAACAGTGTCATCGTTAATTCTTTATGTTCTTAAATATCATAACTTCACGGCACTCATATATTGACTAGAGTTGACTAGTTATTTTATTATTTTCTAATTCTAATTATTTGTTTATAAAAATATAGTGAATTCCTTAACAAAAACTCTGTGAAAATAAGTTTAAATCTTTGAACAACATTAAAAAATCGACAAACTTTCGTAAACATTTCGAGCTTTATATTTCAATTTTAGTATAATAAAGTGCAAGTTTAAAGTAGCTGGAATTTACCGTCAATGTCATATTATCTAATTTTGGTACGCACGCCGTGGAATTTATTTTTTTGCGTCATCCGAAATGGGCTTGCGATTTGATTTCATTGAGCGAAACGTCAAATCAAAATGTCACGCGGAACAAAAATTGGTAATTGAGTTAGCTTCATATGCACGCCGTTCGATTTCGGTTGGTCCCATATAAGTTGTATGTGCATGAGAAATTTTTGACAGTAATTTGGCGGCGTGCGTGAATATTACGTTAGCCTGTAAAGGCTGTTTATGCAGATACGCGAGCCCGTTTTGACAAGTATTAAACTTTGTACAAAGCTGAATTTCGGAAGAAAATAAGTGCGCACTGCTTACCACTACACCACAGCGGCCGACATATGTACCAGAAATTTTGCGGATATTCGCAAACGCGGAGCTTCCGCATTAATTTTTAAAATTCGCTTACGCACTCGCAATAATCAATGCGAAACTTTTGCGAATGCTGTGCAAGTCGTCCGACACATTAATATTGCCTCTATATAATATATGTATATCGAGGACTTACATATATTCAAAACCTGGTATCCGCGAATTTCACAAAAAAATGCTTTCTGATGTAAGAGCTTCTCTGAGACTTAACTGTCATCGATGATGTTTGTGGTGACCTTAAATATCGCTTGTTAAAAGAATTTACTATTCAAATGNAAACTTTTGCGAATGCTGTGCAAGTCGTCCGACACATTAATATTGCCTCTATATAATATATTTATATCGAGGACTTACATATATTCAAAACCTGGTATCCGCGAATTTCACAAAAAAATGCTTTCTGATGTAAGAGCTTCTCTGAGACTTAACTGTCATCGATGATGTTTGTGGTGACCTTAAATATCGCTTGTTAAAAGAATTTACTATTCAAATGTGAAGTCAAAGTTAACATCAGTGCTGACAGCTAGGTCTCAGACAAGTTCTAACATCAGAAAGTATCTTTGTGAAAATCACTGATAGCAGGTTTTGAATATAACACCGATAATAACCGATACAAACATAATTTTAAAGGTAAAAGATGCGTCGAGTCTTTACATTGCCAGAGGAGTCGATAATCTTCGATTCTTGTGTTGAGCCACTAAAACCTTTTAAAGAAGCTACACGGGAATTAAGCACCTCAGAGACCCTCATATTATCCGGTCGCATATACATACATGTGTATATAGTGCAGGGATAATTTAAGTGCGTACCAATTTTAAGTGAATAGTGCTTTAGACGGCAAATCCCAGTTCAATTAATGGCCAACATTTACGGGTACTCAGNGTGGACACCATATGTATATAGTGCAGGGATAATTTAAGTGCGTACCAATTTTAAGTGAATAGTGCTATAGACGGCAAATCCCAGTTCAATTAATGGCCAACATTTACGGGTACTCAGCTTTCTTGCATGACAAAAAGGAATTTTTCTTCTGTTTGAAAATTGTAAAATTCGTATTTACTTCAGTAGCCACTTTTATTGCTACATGTATAGCTATAAAGCCAAATCTAGTATATATAGTTCTATATACATACATACTTATGTACTTTCTACTTTGTAGGAAAATCGTTTTTCCATTCTCGGTAAAGACATCTCAAATAACATCGACGTGTATGACTTGCCAACACCGCCCAAAAATGGACTAAATACTCCACCACCTGAGGGTGCGACCAGTGAGCTCTTAAATGCATCGTCTGGTACGACAGCTTCAACAACGACAACACCGTCACCCACTCACCCATCTAAACAACACTATGGAAGGGAATCAAGTTGTTCTCCAACTAAAAAGAAGAATCATAAAAATGAAAATAATAATCATCAGGTAATGTTAAAAAACTTAACACGTACTTAATTTTGTTTGTTATTAAAAATGAGACGTTTACATAACTCTCGTATCTATGTATACTTTCTTTCGCAGTATAATACTTTTTTTGTGTTGTTATTTTCTTCCATACAAAACAAACTGTCGAACATAGTAACTTTGTATGGAAGAAAATGCGTGAAGTCGTCAGCAAAAAAAAAAATCAAAGATTAACGGTGTTTTTTACACACTTCAAACGATAACCACCACCTCTGAAATGGAGGGAAATGATTTTTATTGAAAACCGCAAAAATTTTAGCTACTAATTCGGGGATGCAGCTCTCTCTTTTGGTGGTATTACCGACTTCCGGTTTCGATGAATAGTTTTCTCTAATTACTTCTAATTCACGCCGCTTTCATCACCTCCAATGGTACTATTTTTATTTGTGCAATATTATTTAGTTAAACAGGAGTCGTGGAGTAGGCCTACCAGGAAAACCACGTTAAAAAAAAACGTACCAAATACAAACGAGTACAGGTAAATTGTGCATATTATGGAGAACACAATTTTTTAAATCGGCATATCTCAAAAATTATACCTTAGGAAGAAAAATGGTTATAACAGTTTTTATAGATAATTGTATGAGCTACACTTCCGTCCCACTTATTTTTGTGACAAACCGTACCGGATTACTGAAAAATGAAAACAATCAATTTATGTGACTTTTGTGTCAAAATTTCGGCACTATCTCATTTTCTTACATCGCAATAATTCATTCTTTCACGTTAGCTCATATAAAATACGCTCAAGTCTTACTTCAACGAACATTTAAAAATTCCCCCAAAGAGTTTCCAAAGTTTTTGGTATGTCTGAGTGAATCATAGCCAAATATCTGGGTCTCGTTACTAACCGACTGTCGTGGGAGCGTCTATTGGGGGATTGTGTTGCTCAGTTGAACTCCGCGGAGACGTGAAGGCTACTTAGGTGCTTGGAGGCACCGACGTGTTCGTAAGTTGCCGTTTGGCTTGAGTAACATGGGACTACCAACCGTGTGTTCCACTCCTTGTGTGCCCATTGTAGATTCTTTCTTTTGGTGTCTTATTTATAAATTTTAGTATTTTTTCATTCACAGTATTTTTAATTAAATTTTCTTTTCAGAATGATATTAATTCCATCGAAAGTATATCCGACAATACGAAAATACCCAGTAACGATCTGGAATGGATAGATGAGTTACTATTAGAGCGAAATGGCAAAGAAATGTTGAATAAAAAGAAAAAGAAGAAGAAGAAAATCTCAACAACGAAAGAATTAGACCAACTAGATGGTGTATCCAGCAAGCACAATAATAAAGACGATCTGGACGTTGAGGATGAGAAGGTGGTAAAGTGTCTATATTACACATTAATGTGCTGCGAATGTACAATATCTTAGTTAATAATATGCAGAAATGCATTATTGCCGCCACGGGAGATCAGGAGTGAAAAATATGGGATAACATACAAATGTATGCATTTATATGAAAAATAGTTGGCTTTTATACACTTTTAAAATCAAAATATTTTAAGGAACGAGTCTGTCCACTTTGAGATACATACATTATAGATGATACTAATAGAATACTAAGATTAACTTGTACTGCTGAATTACTTAAGGGAATTTGCCAATTGTTAACAAAATATTCCTGCGATTAGATAGTGTAACTATAAAATACATATGCATGTATGTACGTATTTAAGTGATCTATGTATGTATATGAATATACATACATTCTTAACCTTAAATGTATTAAATACAAAAGAAATAATAAAGAAGCTAAATCTGTGCATATGTATGTACATACATACATACATATTTAAACGTGTATGAGGTGTTACAATAATATGCAGCAAATATTTTTCTTCTACAAAATATTGTTTTAAAAAATGCAACAAGAAAGTATATCAGAAATGAATAAAATGCTGGATCGTAAAACGTTTATTTTATGAGTAAAAAACATCAAAACGCGCTTTCCTGCGAAAACTGCTTGTTTTTGCTATTCTTGATCGTCAATAAATTTTATAGTATGTTATATGTTTGTATCGCTACTTTAATACATACATATATGTATGTAGAAAAGCCTCAACTAACATTTTTGTTTGTTTAGTAAGTGATTAAAAATTAAGTAAATTAAAACTTAAAATTAAAAATTCAAGTTCTTTAGTTGTCAATTTATCTTCAATATTTCTGCTATATCAGTTATTTTTTTTTTTTTTCTGAGTGAGTAATCGATCGACTTTCGTACAAAACTGGATGCTGAATGAAAGTCAGTTAGGGGGGGTTTCTATATTAAGGTAGCGATATATGTATGCACACATATGGCCCCATTGGCCATAAAAATATGTACTATGTATATAAAAACTAAAAATAAGTTTTTTACTATTCGTATCGTGCTAGTAACAGCCTATTTGACTATTTGCATATTTTTTAAAGGCGTTACAGTATATCGGCGAAGCTATGAATTTTTATATGCGTACAAATATTTATGTATGTAATGAGTATGAACGCAAAGTATTAAAAACTATTTTAAAGCTAAATAAAAGGAAGCAAAACTGTGTGTGTTTTTAAACAGGAATTCTAAAATGGCGCCCATTTTCCTTATGGTTTGAAATATTTATTCCTTGCTTTTTCTTTGTTTACCATTTATTTACTATATAAACCATACACTTTAATGGGTTATATCAAGGCATATTAAACAAGGTAGAAGTGATTTTGACATTTCTCTTTTTTGAACACCGACTATAATGTCAAATGATGAATAACTTTTAACCCTTTTCAAGTTGGCATTTTCTAATTTTCATTAAAAATTAAATTTTGCTTTGAGATAGTTTTGAATTGTGTGTATTTATTTTTGTTTTTCGAACACATGCATTTATAGATACATACATATACAAAAATTAAAAGGAGCGGAAACTACGAGCGTTGCGGTGCCAAGACGTTAAAGTGGTGCGATACTTTAAGGCGCCTAGTTGCGGAGTTAGAAGACTTGGTCGCCTGAAGCCACGGAATTTCAGAACTGAGTAAGAGAATTTTCTTACAATATTATGACACATAACCGGCATTTACATATTTGCATACATACATATACATACCTAACCAATTATGCATGTACGCTGAATTCGCCGACAAGCTTTTTTAAAAACGAAGTAAATTAGTACAAATNGCATTTACATATTTGCATACATACATATACATACCTAACCAATTATGCATGTACGCTGAATT